GAATACAAATAAAAAGTATCCACTTTATCCACTCGTGGTATGTACCTTTAAGTGTTTATAAAAAATTGACGTGGCTACATCAACCAATAAACATTTTTTCTTTTGGGTCGGGTCTTTTTTTTTACTAAATTGTTGAAAAGTCATTGTTAAATGATGCTAACATCCAGTCTGTTTTTTCAAAACACAAAGGAAAACAATTCAGTGATGTTTTGGATGGAATATACACACTTAATTCAGCACAAAGGTCATCTGTAATTGCATTTAAAAAAATCAGACGCTAGAGAAAAATCTTACTGATCAAGAAATCAGAAATTAAATGGTGTTTTCAGTCAATAATGATGTTAGTTTGTCTTTAATTTGCAGTTGTATCGAGCAGAACAAAAGAGCTTTAAATGTTCTGTGTTTAGGAGGCTGTAGCATCTAGTGGTACAAGACAAACTTCAAAAAGCCCCACCTTTTACATCTCTGAGTGCTAAATTCTAAAACATTAATGTGGAAAATCCCTCTAATAAAAGGCGTAATTTCTTTAAAAGCCTTTAAAATTGCCTCATTCATACAGGTTTTCCTTCTTCCTCATTGGCTCGGGTCTGTTGGGCCAGTCACTCATTCTAGAAATCCATCCCTGTAATTCATACGTTCATGGATTTACTGTCACTTGTTTGGAACTGAGTTGTACAAACCAATTTAAACAATAAACTTTACCTCTCCACACCCGCTTCCTTCAGCTCCTCCAATGGGACGCTGAGACATTCCAATCCAGCTGAGAGATCAGATCTGTCCTGGATCTGCCACAAYTCCTTTTCCCTGTGGGACGTGTCCAGAACCTCTCCCTAGGGAGGCTGGAGGTCTGTCTTCCTAACTGCAGAAGTCCATTAAAAATAAAGGCCAATATGTTGATGCAAAGGAGACATGTACGCTATAACAAAAACAGGCGCTATTGATAATGTTTATGCACAAAATATTAAATCAAAGTCAATTTGTCTATGCTTTTCAAAACATTTCAATCATTTACGCTAATGCTGCCCACAAACCATCTGCGTGAAACTTTCCAGAACAGCAGATGTGAACTGAAACGTCTGACAGTGTAGAAAAAGTGCTCCGAACCTGGGAGAACATGCATCCAAATTAAAGATCATTTTGCAGCGCTGTCTGTTGTGTGTATAACAGCTTGTTTGTGCCTTCTCTGCAGATGGAGGTGGATGCAGACGATAAGCGCCATCGCACACGCTCCAAAGGTATCCGCACAGATACACGCAGGAACACACACCTCCATTCAGGGTGACCTTCACCACCCCCCCACCCAACACAAACACGTACCGTACATACAGCGTACGCAGGCTGCATGGATCTGGTGCAGTTAGACTCAAGTTGCTKTCTCTCCTTTTGAGCTTTATGGAAATCTTACAGGTGCAGAAATAAAATATTTAGGAGCTTTGTTCACAATGAGACATTGGGCAAAGTGACAATCACACAAATCAAGGCAAACTTTTCGAGAACAAACTCCTATGTTTACTTTGCAAATTAATCTTTTTCTTTGATATGTTTTTTTTTTAGTTTTCGCTTTTGTCTTTTTTACGTCATGCTTTTAAATCCTTCTTTTCCACATTTAAACCATAAAGTTGGCATCTATATGAAGTGAACCGTAAAGCTTTGGTTTGAATTTCTCCTTACTGTAACTCCACAAGCCCCTCTTTYACCCCTTTGTGTCTCAGATCAACTCCTTTTGAGGCTGCCTCTTTAAATCCAAATATAATGATATCCTTTCAGCATTAGAAGAGATTAAATTTAACTTTTCTGCTTTCCCCAAGAGTCCAAGTACATAATACAATTTAAAAAAATGGATTTTGCATGATATGCCGCCTTTAAAGAAAAGTATCACTCCCCTAATATTTTCACATAAAACCAAACGGAGTGTCTGACAAGCTTCAAACATCTGGAACAARGTGCACTTCAGAGGAAAATGCTGATTCATATTTTATTACGTCTAAGTTGGAGTAGCTAACATCTTTGACCAAACAAGAAAAAAGTCATGATCTTTGTTCCTACATCTTGTGGGTCAGACACTTTGTCACATGATGAAGATGATGATGATGATGAAAGTGTTCACTGTAGGCACACGTGTCCTTCACAGGTGTTTTTTTTTTTGTTATAAAAGAGAAAACCAATGATGTGTCAGTAAAAAAAATGTTTTCATATTATTCTGACAATATTGGTGTAGTAAACAAAAAAAAATTATTAGAATAGTTTTTAGTAAGTTTTTTTTAAGTCCAATAATTGGATGTTTCAAAGCTTTGCTGAGTGTTCTTTAGAAAATGTTGAAAGAAAATATAACGAAAAAAAATCTGAATAAATCCAAGTCAAGTTATTCAATGCTCWAAAACAATACAACACAGTACACTTTTCTTTTAATAAATCTGATTCTCCATGTGTAAAACAAACAAAACAATAAACATTGGAATCACATCAAYGTTCATTTTTAATGCAAAAATACAGTTTTAGATGAATTCGTCACAAATTAATTCCCACACTTTACCAGCTTTAAGTCTTTTACTTGTAATTTATTTTATGGTAAACCTACGCAGATCATAAGTCACAGCGATCAACATTTCAGCAAGGGATTGTTTTTTTATGCTGGAGCTTGTGAATTCAGCCCTGTTTCATAACGATTCTCTCTGTCTCTCTGCCTCTTCCCTCAGTGCCTGTGGATCCAGCGTTAACAGAGCTATTCAGGTCAGTGAGATTGAAAAATTGCACAATATCCATGCACACACGCGCAAAACACAACACGAACATGAAGAAACTGGCCGCGCAGCTACAAATGTTGTGCACAMCCCCTCACACACACAATTTGCCTATTGTTGTCTCAGCGCCAAGGTGGAGTGAGTCAAATAGTACCAGTCACCTTATTACCAACCTGAGACATTTCCACTTTTCCTCCGCTGTTTGCCTTCACATCTGTGGCTGAAGTCTGCTCTTTTTTTTGTACTTTCTCTTACTCCCTATTTTCTCTCTTTATCTTTGCTTTGGAATATGATCACCTTGCTGTTTCCTAGTATTTTTCAAATGAAATATGACATTTTGGAGTATCTCCTTCATTGACAATACAAAGTATGAAGAACAATGATTCCCCCTCTGTGTAAAATTGTCGCATATTTTTGCTTTTTTWAAACTCAGACAGTCAATTATCAATTTCTAATCTATGCAGCACAACTTGTTGTTGATTTTCACGCCTACAGCGCCAAAGTTTTCTTGAGCCGTGTGGGCGGAAGGTAAAACACAACTAGATCTCAAAATTGAAGTTTTTCTTTTGTCAGTGGAAAAAGTTTTCTCCGATATATACAGTATTTTATAAAATATTGCAACTTTCACTAAAATTTTGATTGCGCCAGGTTTATTTTTTGTTTGTTTTGTATTTTGTGACGCATATCTTCAAAACCAAGAACTTGCCAAAACAATATTGCATGAGTTTTGGTTTTTCGTAAGCTTTGAGAACGGAAAAGAGAGAACTCCTCTATGCAACTGTAGGCTCTGGATGTGCTGTATGTGGGATTTTTTAATATTTTTTTTATTTTCAGGTATGTTACATTATGAATGTTCCCAGTTACGGAAATGTATATTATTCATGGCTTCACACCTGCTACCTCACTGCAACAGCCTGCATGTCAAATCTCAGAAAGTTCCAGGTCTCAGCTTCATGAGTGCACTAACTAACAGGGTGTACCGGTACTGAGAGAAGAAAATATGGATTCGGTGCATATATGTGCATTATAATTCAATCTACCAACGCCTGTGCGTTTGCTCTTAAGACAAAAAAAAACACCACATTATCTGTAGCAAATTGAAGCAGCTTAAATGGTGCGACATTTTGCATTTTTAGCTTAATGTACAAGTTCTTTTTATTCATTAAATGAATAAAATACTGAATAATAAGAATCATTATTATAGCCCATATTTCACCTGCAGCCAATAAGTCCAAACACCACCCAGCAAAAAACCTGGTCTACTGTATATAACCCAGTGTGAACTCTTACCATTTTATTTATGTACACTAAATGAAGCTGCTGCAGTGTTTCAGTGGCAGCAGCAACATTTCCAGGCCAGTAGGTGTGTTCTGAATCTGGTGCATGAAGGAGTTTGACAAGCTCCCAAGTGATGCTTTTATGTATTCTTYGGCTACAATTTGGGATACACAGGAAATGTCAGTGAGTGTATGAGGACTTGTTTCAGCAGCAGCCAGCTACAGAGTCAGGCTTTAGTTGCAGTGGTGAACAGCCTCAGCAGCATCCACGCTTTTAGTCTTTGATGCTTTCAGGACRTTTTCTTGCAACGATGAAGATCTTGTTTTGGCGCCTTTGTTATGCTAAAGGGTTTGTCCTTAAATTGTTCATAGTCAAAAATATCTTTCAGGTTTCCTTGGAATAATGCAATTATCATGGCATGTTATTGCTTTGAATCATTTGACATTTAGGAAACGTTCCACAGGAGYGCACGGTGTGGCAGCAGAGGAGGTGGCGCCACCATCGTTTTTAGTTGGGCTGGCTTTATTTGCATTTCAAATGGTTTTATTGAGGAAATGAGGTTCATTGCCAGCAGCTTCTGAAATGACGCACAGCCAAAAATAGCTTAGCTGCATGTCATTCAAATGTACCACCCAGTCTTGAACATGGGCCTGAACGCTGTGCTCACACTGGTGTCATAACAACTTATTGACTCATGTTACTCAAAGCACAACASTCATTTGGGAGGAAGAGGAATGTAGCCCTGAGGATTTAAGTAGACTTCATTAATGCGATCCACTCAGCCTGGTGCCCATACTTCCACTCGTGGTAGTATTTTCATGGGTTTTTTTTACAGAGCATTCTACATAACCTGGTTGGGAATCCATTGGTGGGGTCCTCGGTGTCCTCTACTCGTCTTTGGGACTTGTTTCCACCCCAGTAATGTGTAAATTYTACTTTGTCCTTGGCTGTGTTGGGAAATGGTTGCAGTTCAGATAAGCTTTCCATCCTACTTTTATATCAATACATAATATTCCACCTAGAAGATTACTGTGTAGCCTTTAGCTGATATTCATAGATAATCCAAGGTGGACGCTCCCAATCCTTCATCCCTCTCCKTTTTTCTCTCCTTCAGCCCCTCCTCGGTCTCTCCCACTTTTCCTCTCGTCTTCTCGCCTGTCTCGTGCGCTCCTCCTCACTGCGCTGCTGCCTGCAGATAGTAATTAATCAGGGGATCGATGTGAAGCCTATCTCCAGGCTGGGGCGTCTATAATGTCGATAATGCTGCTCAATGGCCCCTCTCCCCAGAGAGCTGAGAGTCTTCAGGGCAAACATGCCTGACTTTGCATAGGGCATGTTTGATACAGTTTATATCTTAGCGTTTAAAAGAAACTTCCCTTCATTCATTTGTCKTCATTTGTGCTCAGAATTACTTCAGTTTTTTTTTGTTAGAAAAGTGAGCAAAACTTTGCAGGAAAGAGTAGCTGAAGGAGCATAAATGTATGGAGAGAAAACAGACTCATGAAGTTTGTGTGTGCATAATAAATTTTGTGTGTGTGTAAAACATGATTTGTAACCCATAAAAACATTTTGTGCGTAACTTTGGGTATTTGCAAGTGTATATTCAAATGTACACACAAATTTTTATCTTCAACCTCACAAATCTGATAATTACACACACAAACTGGCTCCTGCACATACAAGTCGTTAAATACGCACGGAAAAAATTACATTTTTGCACGGATCAGATAATGAGTGCACAAATCATTTTGAGACTGTTTTCACGCTGCTGAGGAAAAAAGTTGTGTGTGAAATTTTAATGTTTGTGTAATTTATATTTGTGCGTGTGTACTTTTATTTTGTATTTGTCACTTATTAATATTTGCGTGTACATTTGAATACACACTTACAAATACCCAAAGTTATGCACAAAATGTTTTTAGGGGTTACAAATTATGATTTCCACACACAAAAAATGTATTATGCACACACAATCTTTATTACACACCCACAAATTTTATTACACATACACAACAGATTCATAAAGTTTGTGTGTGCATAATAAAATTTGTGGGTGCATAATAAAGTTTGTGTGTGCATAATACATTTTGGGCGGCTGTGGCG